GTAAATTAAAGTTACAATCACACATAAATCCAGGCCAGCCACTATTTTCCACTGTTTTTTTTTCTGCTTTAGAAAACATGCATCACAAAGTTGTTTGGAAATGAAGTAATTTATTTGGACAATGGGCGTAGTAGAAATGATGTGTTCAATCCTTTAACTTATAAATTAAAGACTAGGAAAATAATTACTCAGTAAGATACTTTGTTTGTTGTTGCTGCAAGCTGGTAATGAAATTTTAGTCATAAATTATCTTTGAGTTACCAACATTTGAATTTTGAATTCATAGTTTCATACCATCTCAAGTTGTTACCAACTTAGGCATGTTTAGTTTGCCATATATTTGTTTATCTGAACTTATATGATTTGGCCTGATCTGATCAGAATGTCAGATTTGACCAAACTTTCACCTTACATATACAATAATCTATACGGAAAAATATATCAAGTGGGGTCTTGTTAGATTTTTAATTATGTGTATTTTATTTATTAATATGTGATTTGCAGATTTTTATCATTACGAAATTAAAGATATTTAGCGATAAAAAACTGTACATAAAAACGACGATATGATCTTAATTTATTTTTCTGATCTGAACTTATTTTTTATGATATGAGTAAAAACAAGGCGAACTAAACAAGGCCTTACTACAATAATATATATATATATATATATTCTTGTTTAAGGGCCTATTCAGTTCAGCTCCAATTCCTAATTTCCTTCTCTCATAAAATATTCAGTTCAGTTAAGCTCAGTTCAGTAAATCAGAATACGCCCTAAGTGATAAAACAATTACGGAGTAGAAGTTATCAACGAACTATTTTTCCCAAACACTTTTGTACAAACAATTAATACAATCAACTACATAATGGAGAGGTTCTAATATAAATTTTTGCTTTTTTTTTTATTTTTTTTTTGGTAACCATAAATTTTGCTTTTTTTTTTTTTTTTTTTGGTAACCATAAATTTTGCTAATTAGTTAAACCGGAGTTCCCAGTTATTGGCTCATTTATCCAATTATTATTGTATTATTATTGTAAAAAAAAAAAAATGAAAAAAACACAAGTTGTGAAAGCAAAGTCCCCACCAAGTATATCTTTGGGATTGTCCTGGTGCCAAGACTTATCCAAAGGGAAGAAAGAAAATCGTCTAGAAACTATGAATCCAATGTAATATTGAAAGGAAAGATGTCAAACATGTCCTTTTCCTTGTGTTTCTTAGTCATCTACTTGCACTTGCAATCAATTCCATGTCTCTTGCTTTCCTTCTCCTTTCCTTTCCCTTTTCCATGCACAGTAATTTCACATTACTACACTTAACTATACCTTCCTCATTTTAGCCTTGTTTGTGACATTTCTTTCTTCAATTTGCCTTCCTTACATCGACCTACCATTCGTCACCTTTTTGTTGAATTTTATTACTTATGATTAATTGGTGTACATTGCAATGAGACGATTGTAAATTTATGACATTATATTCTACTGTTAAGGATGTGTTTGAAGGGAAATTAATATTTTCTACAAATCTTATTTTTAATTTTGAATTTATCTGAACCAATTTAATGCATAACAAGCAAAAAAATGACTTAGCTTCATTAAAAATAAAACAATTAAATTGCCAACTATATTTGTAGTAAATTTAATAATAGTAAAACTTATGTGCCAATTAGCTACCTTATCACAATATGAAGTTGATGAGAGTCAAAATATTTTCAAATAATTAATAGATCTAACCTAAAATCTGCTCTTTTCAAATAAGATATGAATTGATTGCTATTATTACTATTTTCAAACAAATGATTTGATACCACCTTACTTAAACATGATTTGTTCTATATAGGAGTAATAGGCTAATAGCCAAGTAGTACTTCGTATTATATAATAATCACGCATATAAAACTTTGGTAGAAATTTAAAAATACTCTACTACTCGTATATCATAATAATATTAGGTACAAATAATATGCACACACTCTTAGAACAATAGAGGATGCAACTATTATGACTTTGACGGGTGAGATAGGTTGGTAATTAAACTTTACACTTCACATTGATAGAACTTTGTTACAAGCTTCATCATCTATCTCCAAGATCTTTATAGCGTATAAAAGTCGTTACAATGTGTTACTTATTTGTAATCTTATGAAAAAAAATTCTGTTTGTTTGAAAAAGGTGTGTAAGGTAAGATATTATAGCAATAGGACAATTCCGATGTTATTTGCTTGACTTTTATATGGAGTATCAACAAGCCAAGTTGTTATTCCAAATTAAACTTTGTCTATTTTTTATATGCTATTTTTAAATTTTAATAATGGAGTGAAGTGACCCAATCTCAAATTTGCATTTATATCATTATAGTTGCCAACTAATGTAGCGCCGAAAAATTTTAGGGATGAAATCTAAATTTCGAGATCTAATTTTTTTTTACTAGAAGTAAGTAAAAATAGTGTAATATCAAGTGATGGAATCCTACCGAAAAAAAAAAAAAAAAAAAAGTGATTGTGATTTTTTATACTCTCTATCCCTTAATTAGATGTCTACTTTTTTTATGGGAGTTTCAAAATTAGATATCTACTAGTTTAAGTCCCGTGCAATGCACGTTTGTTATTAACTTTTAGAAAAAGGTTATTGTATATTTTTATAAAATAAATTATACTCATAATATTAATTCAAGAATAAATATAACTTTAACTTTTATACCTAACTATATCAATGTCTTAGATTAGCTAGTGACACTTAGAAAAAAAGAGGCTTTATTTATTTTTATTTTATTTTTTTTTTTAAAAATCTAAGGTTATATAGTACCTGCACGTTCTGCATTATTAATACAACTTTTAAGAGTAGAAAATAAAGTGTGTATATATGTCTTAACAAAATGATTTTATTTTTAATTGAATTAAACATTATTGCAAAAGTAAAAAATTGGATGAAAAAAAGTTAATAGTATTATCGAAAACTAAAATAATGTATAGCAATATTGTTTAATAATACTCACCTCATTTTTTTTATAAAAATAATACCTAATATAAAAGACTACGTATATGTAAAAATATATCAGTTAGGTTTATATGGAGAATTATTATTGTTAAGAATTTTAATTGGAAGAAAGATATTTTAAATTATTATAAAATGATTTCCTTCAATATATAATCTGCATAAAAATAGAAAGTAAAATTGGGCGGGAAAATTTTTAATGACATTGTGACAAATGTCATTTTAGATTCGCTTTTAGTATAGGTTAATTGATGATTTCTATTTTAATTATGTACGGAATACTTTTGGACATTATTCCCTCTTTTTGACATCATTTTCTAACATTTTTTCTCTCAATCTCTTCAATAATTACAAACTACGAAGTATTTTTTTCTCTCTATCTCTCTCTAACTCCACATGCACTTTGTACTTTCTAATCATGAGTGATCTCTATGTTCCTTAATTTCCGTGTAATTCTAGAAGTAGACATCTAATTAATGGGCGGAGGGGGTAATGTTTCTTTCATTAAAAAACATTTTTACATTATATAAGTTGTATACTTTCTCCCCTTTTATAATTGCGGATTCCTTGGGAATTTTTGGAGTTGAGAGATAGAGAGAACAAATAAAGAGGGTAGGAGTGAAATAAAACTTCCCTTTTTTTATAGAAAGAGATTTGTCTTAAAAAACAGATGAAGTAAATACGGAGTATTATTTTTGTGTTACAATTAATAAATTGAAATTAGCAAGTAGCTAAGTTTGAAAAATCAGAACTATATACTCCGACCGTTATGCAGGGTAATTATATTGGTGAAGCACTGAAGTCAATTGTCATAAATGACATATCTAAGGACTTGTTCTCTACAATAGATCAGTTTTTAATTTCCTTCTCTCATAAACAATTCAATCAGGCCTTAAACCAATATTTTACCCACATATCAACATCATTTATTTTGGTTGTCAACATAATACTAACATCCGAGCACTCTATGTCTCTATATAATGAAAATAAAGTTACAAAACATGGCATAAAAGCAGTAGCAATTAATGTCATTGCTCATTGAGCCTAGTATACGCCCATCTGTTGGTATCAATGGAACTTTTGTCTTAATATCTTCAACTTGCAAAGATAATATCAGCAAAAAAACAAAAAAAAAAAAAAAAGATAAAACTAAATTTGCATTGCCAAAGAAACATCAAATGTATGATGAAAAAAAAAATGTATAATTCTATTCATTGGTCATATTAGATCATAACGTTCATTCGCTCGCAAGTGAAATCAACACAAAATTGTATATTAGACTATGAATGAGACAAATTGGAAGATAATTTTTTATTTATTTATTTTTGACGGGAAATTGGAAGATAAATTCAATGTAACTAGGTAAAATCTCTACCAAATGAGCAAGCGTGCAACTAAAAGTATCCAATTATCCAATACATCAATTTGTAATAGGATAAAGTGGTGTATGAATGATGCCAATTTGTTAGTCTATTTCTGTTGGAAAGTTATGTTGTGGAAAGAATAATAATAATAATAATAATAATCCCATAAAATTATTCTTATATAATATGATTACAAGGAAGGTGAGGTGGTAGGTGCCCTACATATGACAAAACAGTATTCAATTTCATTTCATTTCTTTCGTCAATTCCAAATACTCCCTTTGACGTCACCCCATTCCTCATTTTTTCCACACACGTGCTTTTTTCTTTCTTATTAATAAAATTTAAAATTTCATTTTTTTTCATCTTTTTTCACTTCCTCTAGTAAGAACTTTCAAAGAAGGTGACATTATTCTAATTTAATACTGGAGTAAAAAACAATTTACTTTTTATAAAACCAAACAACATTAAAGTTGAAATATTTACAAATCACCCACTACTGATATTTTATCATTTGTTATACAAAATATTTTAATTAATTCTAAGTTTTTGAAAAATCTAATTTTTTTTTTGTGGACCTACAATTGTCTAGTTGATCCAGGTTCATGCACCCATCTCATCTATATATACCTCTTATATTCTCTTCCCTCCAAAAATTAGTTTTTTCAACATTCTCTCAAAAACACCTGAACCCATAAAAATCTAGCTCAAAATTTTAATACCCACTTCAAAAGTTCAGATTTTTAGCTCAAATTATTAATACCCAGTTCAAATTTCCAAATTTCAAGCTCAAATTTTAATACCCAGTTCATAAATAAGAAGAAAAGATGAATAGAATAAGTCATTTGGAAACTGATTTAGCAGTTCTTGATTCGATTAGGCGACACTTACTTGAAGATTGGGACCCGAGAATCGTCGGAGCTTCGACGATTAACAATGGATCAAACCCTGTTTATTGCCGAAATTCCAGTTTTAGTAGGTTGTATCCTTGTTTAACTGAAAATTGGGGTGAATTGCCATTGAAAGAAGATGATTCTGAAGATATGGTTCTTTTTGGTGTTCTCCGGGATGCGGTACACACAGGATGGTCGCCGGAATCCGGGTCGGAAATCGATTCGGGTTCACCGGCGCCGGTGGTGGTTAAGTCGGAGTCGGTGGAGTCTCCGGTGAGTGTCACCGGCGGTGTAGTCCCGGCGGTGGCCGTGGCCATGGCGGCTCCGACAAGGGGGAAGCATTACCGCGGTGTCCGAAGACGGCCATGGGGTAAGTACGCAGCCGAAATCCGAGACCCGGCTAAAAACGGGGCTCGGGTTTGGCTCGGAACATTCGAAACAGCCGAGGATGCGGCTTTAGCCTACGATCGGGCCGCGTTCAGAATGCGCGGCTCGAAGGCGTTGCTAAACTTCCCCCTAAGAGTAAACTCGGGCGAACCCGACCCGGTTCGGATCACCTCAAAGCGATCATCCCCGGAAAGAACAACGTCATCATTATCTACGTCATCGAGTTCGTCATCAGAGAGTGGGCCCCTAAAGAGGAGGAAGAAAGAAAATGGGCAAGTGGGAAAAGGAGTGGAAGCTTTACAACAAGTGGGATGCCAAGTTGGTGTGAATACATTGCCACTTGGCGACCACCTATTAGTTAGTTAAATAATTTAATTATATTTTATTAATTATTAATAGTATGATTAAGATGGTGTGATTCTATCATTATCTTCTTAATCATAGATTAGGATGGACAGGTTGTCAATGGTTTTTGGAGGGTTTTAGGAGTTGTAGTATATAATGATGGGGGTTTTTGGTGAAATGTGAATAGTGTATGTTCATTTGTTTGTTACTTGAGTTTTTAATACAAAGTACTTCATAAATCTAAATGGACTGTTATAAAATAAATTAAAAAAAAAAAAAAAAAAAAGGAAAGTACATGGACGCCTTTTCTTGTATAATAGAAATGGATATCAATATGTGGCTATAGACTATATATAGTTCGATTCACATGTAGTTGACATCCCCCTCTATTATCAATTATTGACTTGTATAATTAGATTGATTTTACCTTTAAAAATTATCAATTTAATAGAATTCCTCATTTCATCTTAAAAAACATAATGTATATATTCACATATAATTCGTATATACTATAGTTTAATCGATATATGTTTTTTAAAAAGCAAAAAGATGAAGCATTGAATCTTATTATTTATTTGTGGTGATGTGAGAGCCAATAGCATGTCGAAAAGTTTGCAATCTAGAAGACTTTAAGCCACTCATTCATTTTATTTCCACCTTACAAACAATGTAAGAAGTTGATGGTTTGGAATGGTCCAATGGATGTATTGGAGAAATATCTTGTACTATTATAGAGATAAACAAGTTGTTAATGGATTCAAGATTTTCCCCCTAAAGCTTAACACAACGACAAGTGAATAAGATTCAAACAACTATTGAACACACATTTAGGGTATGTTTTTTCTCAATTGGAAAATCTACTAACAATCCTTGATGCTAGTTAGTAATAGAAAAACTAAAAATTTAAAAAAAGTAAGGGCCTGTTCATATTTACTGAACTGAGCTGAACTGAACTGAACTGAACCGATTGAAACTGAAATTAAGTAAATGTGATCTGGCCCTAAGACTTAATATTACTTAATCCTTAAAGATTAGGGTCTATTCACATTTATTAAACTGAGCTGAACTGAACTAATTGGAGCCGAACTGAACTGAACTGAATTGAATAGAGCTAAAATGAATATTTTATGACAGAAGAAAATTAGGAGCTGAAGTGAACTGAAATTAAGCTGAAGTGAACAAACTCTTATGGGGTAGTCTCGATACCTATTATTTATTAAATTCCCTATACAATTTATGATGCATCTAGTAAATATAGCAATATATGCTCTTTGTTTTAAACTATGCAAGTATGTTCTTTTTGGATTCATGTTTATTTGCATTAGTTTTCATGTTGATTAGGTGCACAGTGATGAGCAATGTGCATTGCAATCCAGTGCATAAATAATAGGAGAGAACTGATTTTGAATGATAACCTTTAATTTTCAAACAATCTCAAATTAATCAAAAAACAAAATAACCTTGTATATTGAATCAAAAAACCAAATAACCTTGTATATTGAATCAAAAAACAAAATAACCTTGTATATTGAATCAAAAGAAGGTATAATTTCTCTCCAATAATACTAATACTTCCGTTTCTAAATTGTGTTCATTCCTAAGTTTGAATGTTTTATGATTTTATGGTAAGAAAAGTTAGTGAAGAGTGTTACTCTGGCTTGTACTCTCACTATGCCATTAAACTTGTTATTAATAATCTCTTACCATCTTCAAAAACAAACAAAATTATGCTTAGTTTGTTATACCCTATTTAAAAATGAAATATTAACAATCTTTCAATGTATCCCAAAATATAAGTATCAATATGCTTGCAAAAATTTGTTATCATTTTATGAATCATTCTCCATTTACTAAATAATATATGCAAAATTAAGCAACTTGAATACGGAATTTTGGACATATCTATGTCGGCACAAAGATGCCACAATCGATGTGTAGCTATCCTCGAATTTAAATTGTTTGCTTTTTTGTAAACTGTGGGTACATAATTTAATTTTGTTTAGTTAAAAGTTAACTATTATTAACAATTTATAAAGCAAAGCAAGTTGTGAATGTTCATCTTTAACGTGCAAGTGGAATAAGTATATTGTATTTTTAAAATAAACATTGTACTTCAAATCTAACCAACTATATTCTTTTTTGTTTTCTGTCTAGTATTGTACAATAGATTAATAGTACATGGTTGTTTATTTCCTGATTACTTTGGGCTTGTACGTGCTTCATGGAAAACGTGATTATAAGTTTATCAAAGTGAATTTCCATTATGAAAATTAAACATTATTTGTGGCTTGCATGCTAAGAATTTTCAAGGATTTTATGAAGTTTCAAAGCTATATATATTTATTATATTTGTAAAAAATTCTTTAACAAATTAAATACGCAATTTTATTTATAATAAGTACTCCGTAGTAAAATAATACTCGTAAACCTCTCTCACTATGCCGCATCACCCATTCAACTATTCATTTTGCCACAGCTCTTCTTTTCATTTGTGTTTTCATTGCATGTCATTCACTTGTAATAAAATAAAAAAAGTTTTCCATAAGATTCGAACATGCCGCAACCTCTAATTTTAGAACTAAGTGTTTTACCACCAAGTTATGTGATTTTCTATGCAATATTTATTTTGAATAAAAAATATCACGAATTACTCCTATATATTTTTTTTATGTAAAAACGAAGAAACTAATTCTAAACAAATTTAACTAATTATAAAAAAAATTGAATTACAATTACAATGTATATTACTCCGTAATGATCAGTATTAAGTTATAATCCGGGGCATTGTCCGGACCCAAAACCTAGTTTTCAATCAAATGAAGATAATATACCAAACATTGATTATCTTATCGATTTAACATAATGAAATTATAGTCAATAGTTCAATACTACCTTCGGTCCAAATTACTCGCAACTTTGGGGTATTATTTATGAGATACAGAGTATAAAATATTCCAAAGTTACGAGTAATTTGGACCGGAGGTAGTATTATACTATATGAGTAAAATTTTAGTTTCCAGTATACCATGAATGCCATGTGACAACGATAACATAAAATTTGCATTCATTATTTTATTCTTACAAATAACAATTTATTTAAAATTAGCAAAAGGTAATTGCGTCCTCTGACGTTTGATAAAAGAACTAAAAGTAAAAATATTAGAATAAAACTAACATTATTAATTACAGCAAACGATGCGTGATTTTGTCATACAATCCTAACTTAATACTATTTTAAGCAATATATTAAAATATTAATTACGCTCCGGGACGCTCATTAGCAAGATCCTTTAAAATATAATATTCGTATTAAACCATTAAAAATTACACAATGAGGCCAGATTAATGATCAACAAGATTCAGAAACCACGTGCGGGTATACTATTAAACGGGTCAAATATTATCCAAAAACTAAGTCAATGAATGCATGGGCTATTGTCTTCAGACTTTCAAATGCAAAGACTTGACCCATTTATAAACTTTACCTTAATTGTATCTGAAACAAACTTTGACAATTCTAAAGCTAACTACAATTATGTAACCTAGCTCACGTATTTCGTCATTACTCAAATTGGACAATCATATTAATTACTACTAATCTTACTTATATTTAATTCACTACCCTTTTCAGCTGTTACACCAACTGCCTTCCTCTTATTCAACTTCAATTTATTTTCGTTTCTTTTACGTGAACGATTCTTCTACTAGAATATTTAAATGTACATTATTCTTTATATTTAAATACTAATATTAAAGAGAATTTGTCGGTAATAAGGTTTTGCTTTATATAGACTTTATTTGTTTTGACGGAAAATATTTTTTGAAAATGAGTTTCTTATAACCCGATGGAGAACATAATTTCTTTTTGTAATTTTCTTTCCGCCTTAGTTTACCTTTTTATCCAGGAATTAAGGATGGGATATCCATTATTGTACTTTTCTTGTAACCAAACGTCCAAATACAAGTTACAAAGTATTTATTTTACTATTGTGTTTTCCCTAAATATGTACCTTGAAAGTATACTTTCAGAAATATTATATTCGTTGAACCAAACAGATTGTAAATTAGTTGATTTTTCGCTATTCATGCCCTAATTATTCTTCCGTTATGTTTGTATTTCAACCTTTTTAAATATGAATGTATCTTGGAAAAACAATCAAGCATAATAATGTTCTTTTATGTTGCACTTGAATCATTTGATTTGGCTCTATTACAAAATAGTACGTACGAGTACTATTTACTTCTATTATTAGTATATATTGAATATATTCATAACTGTTCAACCTTCAACTTGTGTATGCATTTCAATTATTGGGTTCAATTCGGATAATTAAGCTTCACCAGGCCAGTTGGATATGACTACGTTGATTATGTCCTAGATAAGTATCTACACTTTGATTTTGACATATCGTGGATTCCATATAAATTACTCCCTCCATTTTTAAATACTTGCTCCACTTTCCTTTTTCGGCCGTTTTTAAATACTTGCTCCATTTCTTTTTTGGGAAAACTTTTACAATATTTAATTTATTTGTCATACTTGGTGGACCCTATATAATACTATCTCTCCTCTTATTCTTCCACTACTTTTGTTTTTTACAATTTTTTATTTTCTAACTACCTCACTACCTCCATATTTTATTACTTTATCTAATTTCTCCTAAAACTCTGCGCATGGAGAAATGGAGCAAATATTTAAAAACGGAAGGAGTATTAATATTGAATTAATTTAGTAAACAATACACGCGAGTGTTTCACTTTTAGAAACATAGTTTTTATCATTTTATAAGATTAAAGGATTATTCCATACAACCATACGGTTGTATGGTGAAATTTCTAAAGGCTTGTGAAGTAACTCTCAATGTATACGGCATAGACCCACATGAGAATGAGTTTTAGTCCTTGCTGTGAAGTCAGTAAATAAAACACCCCGAGTCTCTAAACGCCAAAACCTAACAACTCAATTAGAAACGAAAAAGAAAGGTAGAGTAGAAACCCAAGCTTATGGGTGGGCCAAACATGTTGGAGCTAGGCCCACATGGTCTTGTATGTAGTTGGGCAGGGCTTGAGCTGGTCTAAAATTGACATTTTCTGAAGGGCTGAGGGCGTCAAACTTGATTAAATCTCTGATAAGCTTGGGCTAGCCCATGGCCCACCTTTGATTTCAGGTCAATGCTCATTAATCTGCAAGTCAACTATAATTGAATTATTCTGAATACTTTCATTTACGAGATCATTAAGTACTAGAGGTGTCAAATCAGGTAATTAAATTAGGGGTGAGCATGGGACGGGTACCCGTACTGTTAGTACTAACGGTTCAGGTACCCGATAACCAATATTACTAAAAGTGATATTCATAACCCGAGCCGATA